TTTAAGAATTTATTTTCTTATATAACTCCCGTCACTACTTCTTCGTTGTCGGTCAATGAGACATACTAAGTACACGTGGTTTCGTACTCATACTACACTTGTTGCAGTCTTTTTTGTGGTGCAGATTCGATTCCGAGTAGGAGCACATCTCGAGGAGCAGTTTGAGTCCGAGTTTGGAGTGTCTTGGAGTTGTGGTGAGCTACTTGGCTGTTCCATGGCCCACACCTCCCTCTATCTTTTACGTATTCTGTTATTCAGTATTCAGACAGGATATCCCTTATGTTAGATTTTTCATTTTAGTTTCAGACTTGCATCGTATTTTAGAAGCTCTTGTACTTATGACACCAATTCTTGGGTAGTATTTTTTTACAATTTTCCGCATTCGTACTTATAAAGAACTCAGTATTGGAGATTTGGCAATTTGTTGTCTTTTCACTTATTAGTTAGTTAAGTTTGTTAAAATGTGTTGGTTGGCTTACCTATTGGTTGGGAACATAGGTGCCATCACGACTCGTGATTTTGGGTCGTGACATCAACCCACTGGTCGGAAAGCTAATCCATAACCCCGAATGATGTAGAAACACTATTAAATGACAATACCGTTTCTTAAGAATTAAAATTATTCATCGTTAAGAGCATCAAATGTGTCATCTCATGTCTGCTCATCAACACTCTATGCATGGCTATATCACATGTTGGAAATGTAGTTGATATAAATTATCTTGAACATACTACGTATATTTTTAAACTATTTTTAATTATAACCCTAAAATTGACTTTTTTTTTTAAATTTCTTAATTAAGTTTGGAAGAAACAAAAGTGAGTCTTTGGTTAAATTGACAAAAGAGCAAAATAGATGAAAGGGGAAGATACAAATGAGAGAAGTTAACTATAGTTAAAACCAAATAGATTTTGTCCATTAAAAATTGGATGTGTTAAAATCAAATAGTCCATTAAACCATACAAGATGAAAATCTAGACTGGACCTTAATGATTTGACAAAGACATAATAGTTTTCCTATAAACAAGAACAATAGGGGTAAACAGACACTCGTTAAGTTAAAGCGTGTAAATGACTTACAATTACAAAAGGTAACTATGACTTTTACCATACGCAATAGTTATGAAGCTATATATCATAGAGTTTCAAGAAAGTTCTAAAGTAGTAGCATTTTTTCATTATTACGCCTATTCATTATGTTTCTCGTTTACATGATCTATAAGATAGCATTATTTAAGAGACTTGTTTCTTTAATATTTTACCTTTATTTATATCTAGAGATATAATTTTTTTTGTTATTGAATATTTAATTTTTATGTGTTATTTTGAGATATCAAGGACAATTACTATTATGGATATAGAAAAATATGATTAATTTTATGTTGATTTATAAAATTAAAAAATCATTTGAGACAACTATTATTTAAAAATCATGATAAAAAATTTGAGGTGAAGGGAGTATGAACTATGTGATAATTATAGAGGAAATGAAAGCCCACAATACATAAACAAATTTGGTATGCACGTTGGTCCTATTTGCTTTTCCTTTTTTTTTTCCAGTTCCACTATTGTGTATCATGTACTATAATTTTATAATATGGTGATTCAATTTTTTTTAAAATTTTTTTGTACGACCATTTATTTATATCATATTCTAAAATTATTTTGTATGATGATTGATTTATTCCACTTGAAATATTATGTGCAAAGAATTCTTAATAATTTATGACACTTTTTATTATGTACATAGGCAGAGGAAGGAGAAATAGAGGGAGAACAAAATAATAAGTAGTAATATCAATAGAGTGAGTTAGGGCGGGCCATAGATTCAACACACCCTACCAAAACCCAATTAATATTTTTTTTGTTTTTCAATACCCACCCCATCTCTCCCTAATTAGCCCTGCCCCACACCACCCCATTTAGCTCCTCTATTTTGTTTTCAAGTTCACAACGGTAATTTAGAAAAATTCAAAATAATCAAAATGTAACCAATGAAGTTTTTATTCTTGTTGGATTAAGAATATTTCATTATTATTATTATTATTGTTGTTGTTATTATTATTATTATTATTATAGGTTTTAATATTATAAAAGTTTGTAATACTACATAAAATTACCAAAACTAGTCGTCGACTAATAGTGAACACATTGTATAAATGGGTCTAATTAGTATTAATATATAAAACTTCAACCCAAAATTTGGCTCGCTTGGCCCATTTAGAATTTGAGTTATGGTTCTCCCGCCCTATCCTATCCTACGAAATAATTGATTTCTCTATAGATTTTGAAAATCTAATTTTAAGTTTCTATTTCAAATCAATGATTGTTTATGGTATCAATAAATTATTCAAATCGTGATTTTAAATCCCAAAATTATCCAAAAATTAGACATGGAATTCCAAATTGGAACTTTGATTTGTTTTAAAATATAAACTTGACCTATCATTTTATATTTTAAATAAAACTAAATTCATAATTTTAAATTTTGTAAAATATAATAATCATGCTCGGTGTGAAGAGATTGTTTGTATAATATGATGATTTTATAAAAGAATAGGGATGATGCACAAGTATCCCTTCAACCTATGCCCGAAATATCAGAGTTAGAACCATATAATTTGACGCAAGAGGTTGATGAGTTGATATACCCCATTTTTATATGCTTGTAGTAATGCTTGAGACTAAAATTTAAAATGAAAAAAAAAAGAATTTGTAACTCACTTTGTTCAATACTTTTCACTATCAATTCTTATTTTTAACAAAGAATAAAAGATGTTAAAGTGAGTGAAATAATATATATTTTTAAAATCTTTACTTTTTATCATAAATAATTATTTTTTATATAAAAATTTTAACACATAATTTATTCATTCTTGATAAAAATTTGGGGCCCCAAAATTTGGGGGCCTAAGGCAAAAGTCTTATTCTCAAAGGCATAGAGCCGGCACTGACTAGAACGCCATGAACTCACCTTCGATCTTTGAATGTCCCAACAGTTGTACATGAGATCAACGTGGTTTACTGGTGCTCGGGTCTACATTAAGGACAACAGATTCAGAGTGTAACATGAGTAGTTCCAAAATAATAGGTATCAAATAGGGCATCAAAGGCCAACCACGCTTGGAAATTAAATATACAATGAAAAGAGGGATGTAAAATGGCATCAAGGAGGCAGGAGAATAGAATAATAGTGATAAGTCTAACCATGCGCCTCAATATTCTAGCAAGAAGCGAGACAATAAAGTATATCAACTAACTATAACTTAACTAGATCCGCATAAGCCTAGCAGGTATACTCGTACGAACTTGAATGAAAATAACCCAAACGGGCCTCCATAAGCTCGATTAGTACATAAAAGATCTATTAGATCTATTCTAGAATTAGAAAGTCCAAAACTCAGACTCAAATTTCAGCTAAGGAGCCCAAAGGACCTAATAGAAACATGTTGCAGGGATTGAAACTCGACTAATAATCTAAAAGGCTTACTATGGTCAACATAACTCTTATGCCTGCTTTGTGTGGATCTAAGCATATCGTGAATCACACGAACTATATCCAAAGCCTCTTGAAGCAAATCAGTACCACGTGACCTAGGCTCCGAAGCCTCCAATGGGAGAGCGACAATGCCTACCATATAAGGTCTTAAATGGAACAATCTAAATACTCGAATGGTAAATGTTGTTATACACAAACTCCGCAAAGGTTTTTTAGAACTAGTCCCACTGACCTCTTGAATCCAGCACAGATGACCGAAACATATCTTTCAAACTTGATTAGTATGCTTCAAATGCCAGTCAGTCCGAAGATGAAAAATTGTGCTAAGGTCGAGTTAGGTACCAACTCCTCCTAAGGGTTTCTCTAGAAGCTAGAAGTGAAATGGGAATCCGTATCATAGATAATAGACACATGCATCCCATGGTGACGAACTACCTCCTGAATATACACTAAGCTAACCTCTTAACACTTAAAGAAGACTGAATGATAATGAAATGTGCTAAATTAGTCAACTGATCCACTATTACCCAAATACTATCAACAACTCTAGAAGTTTGAGACAATCCCATAACAAAATCCACAGTGATGCGTTACTATTAGAACTTTGAAATGGGTAATCTTTTAAACTCACTACCAAACCTCAAATGGTCGAGCTTCGTCTGTTGTCAATACAAGCAACAGAACACATAATCCACAGTATCTCGACAGATACCACTCCAAAAGTCAATATAATTAGATTATTGACGTTATATTTCCTGCCATATCTACTAGGATAGTTGTCCATCTGTTTTGCTTATATGTCCATGTTCGACTTGACACATCTCTTAAGAAATAATAAACAATAAAATAATTTTAACATATCATCCCTATAAATTACAAGTCATCTAAATATTTATTTACCATGTGCATTTTTAGTTCATGTAATTATCAATATACAATTTCATCTATAAAAAGGCATAACCACACAAAGTGAAATTCACCAAATCAATAAACTTTGAGAGAGAGAGCGAGAGTATTAAAAACTTGAAGTAGTTGAAAAATGGCTGGTGAGAAGGAAACAACTAAAGTGGCAATTGATAAGTATAGGCGGTTCCTCCATGAAGATCATGTTGCAGCTGCAGAAACTATGGAGTGGAGACATGGTAGCCCTCCAATTTATGACAGTGTTAATAATGTCTTTGAACAAGGAAGAACCAAGGTTTGTTAACTATTCCTTCCCTCTGTTAAGTTATATGATATTTTTTCAATTCCGAGAGTTCATCGCAATTTTTCATATGTCATCTAAATATTTTGAGTTGTTAGTTATTGTATTAATTTGTACTCCCGTCCTGCCCATTATTTTACTTTGTGAAATAATTCTTACTTGTTGATCTCAATTTGTTATTATTTTCTTTCATCATCACTTTATAATCTCTCTTTAACATTTATTGATTAAGGTAAATATGAAAATAATGAAATAATATATTGATTTTATAAAATGACAAAATTTGGATCTTCTACTTTTAATAAGCACAGGAACTAAAATGGAATAGTATTTTTTACGTGGTTTTTAAATATATATATATTTTATTTTAAACGATTTAATAATATTATGTTGGAATTCAGCTTTTAACATGTGATTAATGTCCATGATTGAAGTAGTGATATTATCATCATTTTTCTTGTCAATATGATTTGTTCTGTTTGGTTTTGATGGTTAAATCAGGTATGGCCAAAAGGATCTCTTGAAGAAACAATACAAAATTCTATAAAGACGTGGGAAATGGAGATT